CTGGGGCCTTCGGTGGAGCTCCCTATGGAGCCACGAAACGTGTGAGGGGTGTGCCGAAATGGGTGTGGGGGACGCATGCGGCCGCGGGCACTGGGGCCTTCGGTGGAGCTCCCTATGGAGCCACGAAACGTGTGAGGGGTGTGCCGAAATGGGTGTGGGGGACGCATGCGGCCGCGGGCACTGGGGCCTTCGGTGGAGCTCCCTATGGAGCCACGAAACGTGTGAGGGGTGTGCCGAAATGGGTGTGGGGGACGCATGCGGCCGCGGGCACTGGGGCCTTCGGTGGAGCTCCCTATGGAGCCACGAAACGTGTGAGGGGTGTGCCGAAATGGGTGTGGGGGACGCATGCGGCCGCGGGCACTGGGGCCTTCGGTGGAGCTCCCTATGGAGCCACGAAACGTGTGAGGGGTGTGCCGAAATGGGTGTGGGGGACGCATGCGGCCGCGGGCACTGGGGCCTTCGGTGGAGCTCCCTATGGAGCCACGAAACGTGTGAGGGGTGTGCCGAAATGGGTTTGTGGGGGAAGACGCATGCTGGCCGCGGGACTGGGCATGGGCCCTTCGGTGGAGCTCCCTTATGGAGGCCACGAAACGTCTGTGAGGGGTGTGCCGAAATGGGTGGTGTGGGGGGGACGCATGGGCCGCGGGCATGGGCTTCGGTGGAGCCTCCCTATGGAGCCACGAAATCGGCTTGGAGTGGGTGTGCGACATGGGCTCTGGGGGACGGCATGCGCCGCGGGGCACTTGGGGGCCTTCGGTGAGCTTCCCTATGGGGCCACGGAAACGTTCGTGAGGGGTTGGCCGAAATGGGTTTTGTGGGGGACGCATGCGGCCGCGGGCCTGGGGCCATTCGGTGGACTCCTATGGAGCAACGAAACGTGTGAGGGGTGTTGCCGGACATGGGTGTGGGGGACGCATGCGGCCGCGGGCACTGGGGCCTTTCGGTGGGCTCCCAATGGAGCCACGAAACGTGTGAGGGGTGTGCCGAAATGGGTGTGGGGGACGCATGCGGCCGCGGGCACTGGGGCCTTCGGTGGAGCTCCCTATGGAGCAACGAAACGTGTGAGGGGTGTGCCGAAATGGGTGTGGGGGACGCATGCGGCCGCGGGCACTGGGGCCTTCGGTGGAGCTCCCAATGGAGCCACGAAACGTGTGAGGGGTGTGCCGACAGGGCGTGGGGGACGCTGCGGCCGCCGGGCACTTGGGGCCTTCGGTGGAGCTCCCTAGGAGCACCGAAAACGTGTGAGGGGTGTGCCGAAATGGGTGTGGGGGACGCATGCGGCCGCGAAACGTGGAGGGGTGTGCCGAAATGGGTGTGGGGGACGCATGCGGCCGCGGGCACTGGGGCCTTCGGTGGAGCTCCCTATGGAGCCACGAAACGTGTGAGGGGTGTGCCGAAATGGGTGTGGGGGGCGCATGCGGCCGCGGGGAGGCAGCGGGAGGAAGGAAGGAGGGAGAACGCGGGGCACCGTCTCTTCAAAACGAGGACCCAACACCACAGGATGGTTGGGAACTTGAATAAACACGAATACGAACGCTCATGCGAATGTGAATGCCCTTGCATCCTCGCATCCGTACAACTACGACAATAGCCAGTACTACGATGGAAACAATCTGCCAGAGCCATTACTGATGTTACCATTGCCACTGCAAGCGCGCATTCCTTTCACATCTATTACTGCGAGAACTGCTGCCAACACCGGAAGGCAAATTGAGGCAACGGGAGGCAGCGGAATGCCAGGGGAGCCAACTAATATTGAAAGGTCACCGGAAGCCACGTGCCTACACGCCACTTAGAATAAAATCTATAATCTTTACACACTTTTCCGTCGGCGGCGAGGGAGAGGCAGTCCGCTCCAGCGTGTGGCTATTCGGGGCAACCAGAAGGCAACTTGTCCGGCGAGCAAAAGGGGAAAGAAAACACAAAAAATTAGCCTGACGAGGGACCCAACCATATACAGGTGTGAGTACCGCAATAGTGATTCACTTTTTCGGTGGCGATCCCTATGAGGCAACGAACCGTGCTAGGGGTGTGCCGACATGAGTGGCGTGGTACACAACGCGAACGAAAACGATTGATCTGAGTACGTAGGGAGACTGAGCGCGGGTGAATCTGCGCGCGTGCGTCTGACTGTGAATGATCTGCGTGCGAGCGAGTCTACGTGCATGAATGCGAATATGACAAAGCGTGGTGCAAATGTGTATGAATGTCAATAGTTTGACAACGACTGCCTCTGAATACTCGTGACGCTGGGCGTGGCCGCCGCAAGGAGCTTCCCCGGGACTCCCCGACGGCATCGCCCGCGCGCCGCGACGCCAATGTCGGCGCGCCCACCGGCGAGGATCGCGCCCGCTTCCTCCCCTTCCTTTACTCCCTCTTAGCCCGCGCACTCAAAAGTCCAAGGTTGCGGGCGCAGCGCAGCGCGGAGTCCCCGCGACGCGCGCAGGTCGCCCCGGAGGGGTCCCAGCGACGCGCGCGGGTCGTCCACTGCGCGGAGCAAAAAGAGCTAGCTGGCTGGCTGATAGCGGGCAAGGCTCTTGCCGCTGGGCAGAGAGACGACGGGACGCATGCGGGCACACCCACTGGGACCTTCGGTGGAGCTCCCTATGGGGCCACGAAACGTGTGAAGGGTGTGCCGAAATGAGTGTGCGGGACGCATGCGGGCACACGCACTGGACCTTCGGTGGAGCTCCCTATGGGGTCACGAAACGTGTGAGGGTGTGCCAAAATGAAAGTGTGCGGGACGCATGGCGGGCAACACCACACTGGGGGGAAAAACCCATTCGTGGAGCTCCCTATGGGGGCCACGAAACGTGTGAGGGGTGTGCCGAAATGGGTGGTGGGGAGGCATGCGAACGCAGCCACTGGGGCCTTCGGTGGAGCTCCCTATGGGGCCACGAAACGTGTGAGGGTGTGCCGAAATGGGTGGTGGGGAGGCATGCGAACGCAGCCACTGGGGCCTTCGGTGGAGCTCCCTATGGGGCCACGAAACGTGTGAGGGGTGTGCCAAAATGAGTGTGCGGGACGCATGCGGGCACACCCACTGGGACCTTCGGTGGAGCTCCCTATGGGGCCACGAAACGTGTGAGGGGTGTGCCGAAATGGGTGTGCGGGACGCAAGCGGGCACACCCACTGGGACCTTCGGTGGAGTTCCCTATGGGGCCACGAATAGTGTGAAGGGTGTGCCAAAATGGGTGTGCGGGACGCATGCGGGCACACCCACTGGGACCTTCGGTGGAGCTCCCTATGGGGCCACGAAACTTGTGAGGGGTGTGCCGAAATGGGTGTGCGGGACGCATGCGGGCACACCCACTGGGACCTTCGGTGGAGCTCCCTATGGGGCCACGAAACGTGTGAGGGGTGTGCCGAAATGGGTGTGCGGGACGCATGCGGGCACACCCACTGGGACCTTCGGTGGAGCTCCCTATGGGGCCACGAAACGTGTGAGGGGTGTGCCGAAATGGGTGTGCGGGACGCATGCGGCACACCCACTGGGACCTTCGGTGGAGCCCCCTATGGTCCACGAACGTGTGAGGGGTGTGCGAAATGGTGTGCGGGACGCATGCGGGCACACCCACTGGACCTTCGGTGGAGGGGGCCACGAACGTGTGAAGGGTGTGCGGGACGCAGCGACACACCCCTGGGACCTTCTTGGAGCTCCCTATGGGGCCACGAAACGTGTGAGGGTGTCCGAAATGGGTGATGACGTTTATGATGAAGAGGGAGGAGGGAGGGGGCAGCGGGAAGGAAGGAACGCGGGGCGACGTCTCTTCAAAACGAGGACCCAACACCACAGGATGGTTGGGAAAAACACTACTGACACACAGCCTGGAAAACAAGAACTTGGGGAGGTCCGCGCTGGTTTCTTGGATCGGCGCTGGACCACCTCCTCCTGGCGCGCCACGGGCGGCGCCTCCTCGCCGTGGGGGGGGGTCCAGAGCCTGGTCCAGGGAGGTCCAGACAGGGGCCCGAGAACTGCACATGAACGTCCGAAAGTTTGGAGGCTGGAATGGGCACCAACACAAACACAGGGGGCTGCTTCCACCGAGGGGAGATGCTCCTACGCGTTGGTGCTGGTGGTACTCGGCTCTTTCGGCCATCTCGGAAGCCCGACGTTCTTCTTTTCCCCGACCAGCTCACTCACGACAGCGATGTGCGCTGCTGAAAATCTTAGCACGCGCTAAGCGCTCTACTGATATACGCCGAGATCGAGATCATCTTCCGTCGGTTGAGGCACACCTTCGGACGCCCGCAATGGGTACGGAAATCATTGGCACAATGCCCAGCAACAAGTGTTGTCCACAACCGGCAGCGGCCGCTGGTGGGCAGGCGGTCGTCTGTCTCAAATGGACACAGTCCGCGGCGACGCCGACAGCGAATCCCGTTAAAAATGAACAGGAACTGCTGTCGGTTTTTGTATCCATTCTTTCCGTACCCATTTCGATCGTCTTGAATACCGCCGATGTGGGTGTCGGTGCCTACCTTTAGGTCGGGCATGTCCTCCTACAGGCAGGCTTCCGAGGAAACATAAAACAATAGTCCAAACATGTTCAAACACGGCCCCCAAAAAACAAATCGTCCCCAGACTGTTTTTGTTTTTATGTATGACTATTTTTGAGTTTTCCTCCTGTTGAAGGACATGCCCAACTTAAGCTTATCTCGATCCTCCGTTTTCTTGCTCTTTTGCACCGGCTTGCTCGTCCTGGATGCCCCAATATTGTTGATCTTCCATTTTGGAGCACTCCTCCTGTGGAGGGACATGCCCGACTTAAGTCTAGGTGGAGGTGGAGGAGGAGGGGAGAGGTGGAGGAGGAGGGGAGAAGGAGGAGGAGGAGGACGAGGAGGAAGAGGAGGACGAGGAGGAGGAGGAGGAGGAGGAGGAGTAGGGGGGGAGGAGAGGAAAGAGGAGGAGGAGAGGGGAGGAGGAGGAGGGGAGGAGAGGAGGAGGAGGAGGCCTCCGAGTTCTTTCTCTCTGTGCCGACTTGCTCGCCCTCGATGCCTCGACGGCCGGCCGTTGCCGCCGCCTGGCCGCCGCCGGCGCCGGCGCCTCCAAGGCCGGCAGCGGCCCCCGCTCCGGCGGGCGCCGCAGCGCGGCGGAGGTGCCGTCGGGGTCGCGCCAGACCTGGGGATAGCCGAAGGCCTACCACGAGCACGCGTGAATAGGCACCAATCTCTGGATCCCCCATATAGTTTCCCATGTCGTCGGGGGCTCCCATGACTCTTCCCTCTATATTCGCTCATGTTCGAGGGTTCCCATAGTTCCCCATCTTCCTCCCCACTTCCAATACTTTCACGTGTATCCTGTGAGACCAAAGGAATACCACAAGGAACATAGAAGAAGAAACAACGCCATGAACATACATGTTTGGCGCTCGCTCTCCGCGCGGATTGCTCGGATCTGGCCCAGATCCCCCTCCCTGGCGCGCGGAGCGCGACAGGGGCGGCGCAGGAGGCGCCGCCTGGGGGGGGGCCCAGCGCGGATCCAAGAGACTAGCGAGGAGCGCGAAAAGTTTAGGTTATGGTGTTTATCTTCTTCGAGACAAGGGAGGTCAGAGGATGACAAGGTCCCGATGCCGCTGCGCTTCCCCCCCCTCGTCTGTACGGCCGGCTGCGCATCGGCACATCCTGGTCAGAGCGCACCCCAGACTAGCCTTAAGTCGGGCCTGTCCTCCTACAGGGGGGATTTGGAGGAAACATTAAAAATAGTTACAAAACACCCCAACATGGTCGACACATATATAAATATAAAAACCAAAGAGAACCTCCCCAGATTTTTTGAACAACTATTTTTTAATGCTCGTCCTGTAGAAGGACAGGCCCGACTTGAGGCCAGAGGCCTGGCGAGTAATTCGCGGCATCGGTCTGCGACTTCGGCCGTGGCGGCGAGGCTCCCATTATAGAGGCCTCCTTGATGAGGTCGGAGTAGATGGGGTCGGAGGATCTCGCCGCATCTCCGATACATCTGCGATGCATCGCCGATGCACCCGTGATGCATCGGTGACGTCGGCGATGCGTCGGCGCCATCGGCGCGATGAACATCGGGCTCCACATCGGGCCGCATGTCGCCGATGCATCGGCGGTTCGGCGCGATCCTCCGACCCCATCTGCTCCGACCCCATCTGGGAGGCCCAGATCCCAGGAAGCCCCCCCCCCCCACAAGGCTCAAGTCGGGCCTGTCCCCCTACAGGGGGATTTTGGGCGCAAGATGCAAAAAGTAGTCAAACAATGCCCGCAAATGGTCAAAGATGGTCAACAAATCGTCCCCATGCTATTTTTGTTCACTATTCTCGAATCTCCCTCCTGTCGAGGGACAGGTCCGACTTAACACAAGGCGAAAACCCGGCAAGAGCAGCTCGGGTCGGGCGAAAGGGGGGGATAGCAAAAGGGGGGGTTTGAGGATCAGCTCACGTAGCTGATTTTCCCGGCGCCTCCCGGCGCCCATGTATCGAAGAATGGGCCCCTCGGTGGGGCCGAAACCAGCTGCGTGCAGCAAATTTCGTACCCCCCCCTTTCCCAAACGCCCCCTCTCGTCCAGCCCGGGCAGCGGCGGCGGCACGCCTCCTCCCTCCGAGTGCCGCCCGGGGGGCCGCGCCGGACCTGCAGCCAGGAGCCCGCCAGCGCCCGCAGCACGTCGGCCGGCCGCGCGCGCAGCCCCCGCAGCTGGCGCAGCGCCAGCACCGCCTCGAGGCGGGGCCCGCCGACGTCGGATCCACTGGGGGGCCACCTGCGAGCCCTACCCCTGCCCCCCACGATTTCTGAGGGGGAGGGTGGGGTTCAGTTCGTTCGGGAGCTCCCGAGCGAAGTGAACCCCGCCCTCCCCCTCAGAAGTCGTGGGGGGCAGGGGCAGGGTTCGCATGTGGCCCCCCTATCCACGAGTCGTGTCGAAAATCGAAGTGCGCGTCGGATCTGGGGGAACGAGCAACGGCATGATCAGAAAGACTCGGAGGTCCGCGCGGGTTTCTCGGATCGGCGCCGGAAGCCCCCTGGCGGCGCCTCTGGCACCGCCCCCGGCGTGCTCCCCGCGACAGGGAAGGGGGTCCGAGGGTCCAGCGCCGACCCGAGAAATCCGCACGGGCCTCCGAGTTTGATGTTTATGTCACTGTTCGTTCCCCTAGGATCGGGCTGCCTCGGCGAGGAGTCAATCTCGAATCGGATTGGCCGAGCTTGGGCGCACAGCAGCGCCGGGCGAACATCGGGCCGCATCGGGTCGTCGGGGCATCTCGGTCGAGGCGGATCGGGCCAGCCGAAACTGGTATCGACGCGCATCGATCGGATCGAAACTGACCCTGCCTCGAGATCGACCCAGCCGCCCGGGCTGTCCGATATGAGCTCCTGCAAATGGCGGTCGCACCTCAGGTGCTCGTCGCTGAAGCAGGCCTCCACCTGCTGGGGAACATCAATCCCGCAGGCGTGCTCGCGTCGTGCACAAAGCTCGCGGCGGAAGGCCGTGGCCGCTTCGGCCTCTGAACGCTCTCGCCAGGCACCTGGACCGCCAAAGC